GAATGAGAAAATATCGGCATATATATTAAATTACAACATCCATATACTTACATGCAGATATTATTCCTCCATACTTGCTTCGTGTATATAACCACTCTGGGTTTAAAGCATACCCCACCTATCAATTGTGCTGTAAATCATAGGCTTAATTCGTAAATTATCAGCTTTAATCCTATGGCCCACATGTAATCCTCCTGACCAAAGCGTCAAAGTACGTAATTTAATTATATATATATATATATATATATATATATATATATATCATGATCAAAACTTGTATTTCATAATGATACATGATCGTGAAACATATTACATGTAAGTTTTTGTGGGTTGTATGTAACCACTGGTGGATTGTTTTGCCGGATCTTTTTTCTTAGGGAAAGGTTGTATTTGGTAAAATGATATAGGTTGTTTGGTTTTAAGTATATTTGCGTTCCATACTAATGTTATTTATTCACTGCCGTTTATTTTTTCTTTTATATTTGGGGGGAGAGGGTTGTCGGTCAGACGGGGTGTCGGTCAGGGTACCCGTTCAATGTACCCCCACCCCCAATTCTTACTTGACCACTCTGTGTTTCGGGAGAGAGATGAATATGCGTTATGATATAAATTTTATCACGGAGCTTTATATGCTTTGTATTACATGGCTTTTGTTAGATAGTTTGAAGCTATGAATTATCTGTAATATGTAGTTCATCATAACCTTCTGATTTCACAGCTTTTTTGGCAAACTAATATAATTGAGATGTATGTAAAAATGATGGTACCGATATATCCAATTCAATTTTGACTGCTGGACTTAGCATATATTGTGAAAAAGAAAAAAGTATTTTTTTATCACTTTTGCTATTGTTCACTATTCAGAATAAGGATAAAAACCTATCCATGTGTCTAGATATGAGTTCAATAAGTGTCATTCAGTTTACGTAAGGTTTGAAGGGCAATACGATTATTTGATTTTAAAATTCAAGAAAAAAAAATTGAATTTTTATTATGTGTGATAATTGGGACACGAATAACCTAACGAAGGCCTGCTTAAATATATGCCAGGAGAATACAAAAAAAGGCTAACAACTTGCTTGTAACCTCTACCGGAGGTTTGCAATCAGCTGAGCTATATCCACAGGCAAAGTGACACGATGGATCGGAGTACAAATATTATCTTGTTTAACTATTGGTAAAAGCATGTTGTTGCTGTGACTAAATTGTGAAACATCAGATTAAATTCTTAACAAGACAGGTCATCGATATTGTACGTCAAAAATCGACAGGCTTTATTTTAAATGAAATAAATTACTTGCTGATTTAGTTCTTCTTTATTTGTGTTAAGTGTTATTTGATTATAGCAAACTGCTAAAATGTGCCTTTCTTTCTAAACCAAAAGAAAAAAGTTCTAAGTTCTGAAAATGTTTGCACTTGTTGCGTTCAATTTTGGGTACGTACAAATATAAAAATAATACTTCGTTGCTTGCTCTCTAGTTCATTAAAAATAACAATTAATTGATTAAGAGAATTTGATTCTTAGTGATTTTCTGAATATTTTATACACATGGTGAACTTACCACAATCACAGATTTTGTTGTGACAATATCGGTGTGACCGGCTTTCTTTTAAATATTCAGTCTTATTTTATTTTTACACAATATGTGTACTGATTTTCAAGCATAATTAAAGTTATAATTGATATATAAATTGATATAAGGCCGACTGTTGATCATCACCTTGAACATACAGACTTGACATTATAAATATGGAATATTTTTTCCAAATCATAATTCAGCAGTTTTTTTTACTATTTTGCTGACTGATAAATGAAAATAAATAAATTTGCCCAGTTTTGACATCAAAGAGATTGTTAAAAGTTATTAAAGCATGATTTCAATCCTTATTAAATAACTTTTAATAATCTCTTTGATGTCAAGACTGGGCAAATTAATTTTCAAGCATAGGTCTATATTTGTAAAATATCAAGTTTCTTTTGTTTTTAAAATTCTGCCAGAATCGTTAAAGAAAGACACTGGTTTCTGTGCGTCGGAATCGTTTTTGAAAAATTCAATGAAATTAAAATTCATACTTCAAACAACAAGGAGACCCCAGTGGCCCCCTTTTCTTCACCTCATCCTCCCCGCCCCCCAACCACACACACACACACACACACACACACACACACACACACACTCAAACGATTCTAGCAAATAAAGGTAAGAAAAAAGACATTAGTCATTATGAGATTGTCCAAGATATTGGAGAGTCATGTTCCCACAGTTTCCGGCCTGCTGGATGATATCAGGAAGAATCCTAAGTATGCGCTTTAAATTTTGAATTTTGAATGGCTGATTTTCATGTGAATTTTTTATATGTTAAAATAAAAATTAATTGATTTACATGTTTAGCTTGATTAAATGTTGAAACAGAGGTTTGTAACTGGCAGGTTATTAGCACTATTTTTGTGTTACAAGATACACAAGATTTTTCTAAAGCTGATATTAAACATTATTTAATACAAAAACTGCAATACAGTACATCAGATTATGAAATGTGCTACAAAACAAAATCATTTTAAAATTTGTACATTACATGCCTGATATTAAATACGTGGCCTTTGCTTATCCTTGGTAAACTTGTCGTAAGGAATGCGGCCTTTGCTATAAATCACACTGAAGCTGCGTCTTGAATTGTCACTACAATCAAATGCCATCACAGATTCAAAAAGCATAAGGGGAAGCAGGCAAGTCGCTCAGAGGTCGCACAGGTCGCTCGCAGTTTTACAAGTATGTAGGCCTAAGATGTCGTTCCAATATGGCACCACACACGGATTTTTACACACAAATACGCACTCTTGATGCCTTTTAATATCCCTTTTATATCAAAGTTGACTTAAACACTGTTGTAATATATATATATATATATATATATATATATATATATATATATATATATATATATATATATATATATATATATATGTGTGTGTGTGTTCATGTTACCGGCTGTTGTCTACTCGAATTTGGGGATGTTATTTGATAATTTCTTTACTCTCAATATTGGCTTTCGTTGGAAAATGGCACCACACATGAATCGGCCGATACATTGCTTTAAAAACAGTTATATAACATCTAAAGGGGACCCTTGCAAGCTGGGGGGGGGGGTCAAAAGTTACGTGTCAGCCACATCAATGTAAACGAGATACATTAGAGACATTCAAGTAGTTAAACGTGGGCTATCAGTGTGTTAACATCTCTGTAAAAATTCATCGCAAGATATCGTAAAGATTGAAAGTGTTTGCCCTAAGTGATCGAACTGGGAAATTTGGCGTTACTTTCTGTTTGCACGTAAATATGTTGTGTAAAAATTAAGATATTAAGAGCATTTTTAAAAGAACAAAAAAGGGTATGAAGGAAAAATTAAAGGAACTGTCACAGTAATAATAATAATAATAATGAATAATAATATTGTACGGCACCAGTCATTAGCAGTAGGTAAGGTAATGTTTTTTTTTTTTACAAAATTCTGAAGAAACATGTCAACCACATCGCTGAGACAAAGAGATATACAAGTAGTTGTACTTGGGGTATCAGTGTGTTGTTAGCACTGTTTTCTGTCTGACGCACGGCATCATAAGGATTTGGAATAATCGTGTAACGTTACAATGAACTTTCTGTTCGCACAAAACAAGTATATGTTTATATGTGAATGTAAGGTTGAAAACTGAAGTTACAACGTTATTTAAAAAAATCAAATTATTGAAATAATACATAATACTGTGTTGGGAAAGTCATGGTATATTTCAATATTTAAAGATTTTAGAAATAACCTTTAAAGAAAAACGATGGTGTATTCATAAGCTTGGGGTCTGTTTATTTGTAGAGCTGATCATGCACGACACACACAGATAGGCTACACACACACACACACACACACACACACACACATAAGCAGACCTAGGGTTAGGGTTTTCTTGGCTTTGTTTTGTTTTGCTCGGAGTGTAAAAGGGGATAGAAGGGGATAGGCCTACCTCACAAACTAAAAAAAGGGGGTAGACCACTGTGTCTGATGATCCGTCACTGTATTACGTTATCAATATGTTCAATTTGTCATGGGTACATGGCTGACATATGTGCAATAAATACAGGTAGCACATAAACATACATGTATCAAGCTTGTGAACACCATAGATGCATGTTCCATTGAATAATAAACGTCCTTGAACTGAATGTTTGCCTAAAAGTCAATAGCAACAAGGGGGAATTCCCCTCGGCATTTCTAATATCCTAACAGAGTCGCTATTTACACGAGGCTTGTAAAATAGGTAAGTTACTGAAATTTCTGAGGTAACTTGTCAAGCACATCGATGTAAACAAGAGACATTCAAGTAGTTATACTTGGGATATCAGTTTTTGTTAACATCTGGGTAAAAAATTCGTGGCAAGGCATCATAAAGATAGGAAGTGTTAGCCCTTAGTGATAGATCTGGGAAATTAGGTCTTACTTAGTGTTTGCAGGTGAATATGTTGTTATGGAAATTGAGTTATTAAAAGTCATCACATTTTATAGTTTCATGAAGAACTTGGACATAATTCGTCATTATGTCCAAGTTAAGAATGGACCAGTATATGAAGGAAGAAGGTAAAGGGACGGTCACGATACACCGACCCAAAGAGCAATGGCATTATGGAGCTAGGCCACGGTTAACTCTATGGCAACAATACTGCTTTTGTAAATATGTTTTACTATATGCATGTACGAGACGACACGTTCCTATGTTTCTACTCATATAATTTATCTACCGTGTATATATATTGTTGTGACTGAAACCTATATGAGGAATATCCATTCACAGGAAACTTTGACAGAGG